AGGAATGCCTCTGTTTCCAGTGTTCAAAACTTGTAGACATTGATTAGCCCAATGTGATGAGTGTTGCTGTCCTTGTGATCGCTAGGTGGGATCTCCTTAAGCAGATATATACAGGTTGGTGGAAGGAAGTGATTTTTCTCCTCACCAGAGGATGGAGCATCCTATTCCAGAAAAGATCACTGGTGTCTTAGGCTGATGGAGGTTCTGCGTCTTTCCAGAACAAAGCAATCCCTTAATGAATACAAGCTAGATATTTGGAATATGCCATTATCAGAAGCTCTAGGCTAATAGTGCTGTGCAGCCCACAAGAGAGCTTGCTATGTAAATTAGCAGCCTGCTGTTCATCACTGTGATTGTAACTTCCCTGATCCAAGAACACATGCATGTACACATGCAGCAAAGAGTTCTGTGTTTGGACAGAATATACCTACGGGCAGTGAAAATTCCCAACTTCTGGCTATGTATTGGTCTTTAAAGACCTGTAATTATGCTGTCATATGTACAATATTAACAAAATGGGCTGGATTCTTAACAAATTTGAGACTGTTGGAGGCGAGATACAGTTTAGAAGGCATGGTAAGAATCAAAACAGAATCACTTTATTACCTGTCTTTGGGCAGGCCTCTTTATGGGTTTGAATATTTCAAGCCGTCTTTAAAAAATGGGGTTTGAGCAGAGATGTAGGGCTTCCTGGATCCTGCTGTACATCTTTGCATGTTAAACTAAGAGGAGCATTTAAATCTACCTTTGACCTTTCTATTCCTGTTAGAGGGTGAAGTGGCAATACAAAGCCTCTCTGATGTATGTTAGTGACTTGGCTGCCAACACAGAACCAGGTGTTCTTCTTTAAAATAGTTTTACTTCAGTATTTTGTTGTCTTTTCTCAAGACGTTTTGCCTCTTGCAGTATGTGCTAAGAACAGTTGATGTAAGGCCCAGAGCTTAATAAGCCATCCAATTACTTGATGTCATGAGTTTAACACTTGCCACCTCCATTGATCTGCAGTTTTGCTTTAGCTTACGTGTGTTGTGCTTGGTGGAATGCATGTTTCAAGTCCTGGGTCTTAGTTGGATGTATTTAACTGCAGCGACCAAGTTTACCATATGTGGTGCTTTTATCTGTGTGCGTCAAAAGGAAGCAGGAAGTGGTCTTGGGGTGCAGCATTTGAGCCACATGTTGCCAGTGATGTGTAGGAACAAAATCTGGGTGTCTGGTACTATTAATTCAGTCCTACTTCTAGGTATCTTTTAAGATAGGTTACTTATCTTAAAACCTATCTAGGTTCTTTTAAGCTACTCTGTCCTTAGTTACATTACTTGGGTGATTTATACTCATACTCTAACCATAAAATCACTTGGTGTCTGTTATGTTCTCCTCTTGTGGTTATCACATAAGTGTTTTCTTCTTTCTCTTCCAACTTGGATTTCCATGGCTAATTGTTCTTTTGGCTTGGATTCTTGTTCATACAATCTGTTTCTAAAGCTTTTTTTTTTTTTTACTTTAAGCTTGCTGTGTACATGGGTTTTGGCTTGTGTATAGCTACGTAAATGCAGCTATATGAGTTATGGATGTCCGGAGATGATGTGTGTTGTGATAAGGTTGCTTGGCACTGCAGCTGCCTTAGGCTTCAGTCTTTCTGACTTGTCTTAAACTGATTGGATGTGCACACTCATGTTTAATAGATAGCATTAAATTCCCTCTATAGGCCATGAGAACAGGTAAATGTTAATGCGTTCTTGGCTCCTTCACCTGAACTGTTGGCAGTTGTTTTGTTTCAGGTAAGGGGATGATGAGATCAGCTCTCATGACCCACTTCAAAACAACAGAGATGAGGCCCCGAGGCAGATATCCTCTCTCTCCTGTTTGCTTCTTTTTTCAGCCTTTCCACAGCAGTGGCTTTTTTCCTTTTCCTACAGATGCCCAACACTTGTCCTCTTTAATTTCCTTCTTGCCCAAGGTTGCCTGTTCTGTGTTTTAACAAGGCAGACTTACTTTACAAAAGACCTCTGGTCTTGTACTATTTCCAAAACAACTTTATCCTTTCTATTGGTCAGCAAGTTTACCCGAACACACAGTGAGATCTGGGGAGGAAGGCTGTAAACCAAGATGTCTCATTCAGTGACAAAGAACACAAATTTTCTGACTCATTCATCTGACTGTTAACAAGGCTTAAAAAAGCCTCAAGTGGCAGTCCTGAGTCAGAGTACAGCTGCACTTACACTGCACTTGATTAACTTGAATCTTGACCCTTAGACTCTGGATGCATGCAGTACAACTAGTGTAGTTTTGTTCTGATATTAACTGTTAAGCATGTTGGTGAATTTTTGTTTCCTCATAATTTTCAATTACATGGTAAGCAAGGCTTGTCACTTGCATAGGATTTGGAACAGCCTTTAGCATTTACTAATTGCTGTGGCTAGAATAAACTTTCAGAAATCACTTTAGTCTCCTTTCCCCACACTCCCATATATACTGAAAGCATGCGACACTGCCGGGACTTAAAAAATAAAATAAAATAAAAAAATCTCCCCATAAAGAAACTGATCAGCTGTATTATCTGATCTGAAGTCAATGTAAATACTTAATTTTGAAAGAAAAAGTTCATCTGCCTTTGTCCTTTTTTTCTAACATAGTTTGATGCTTTCTGGAAAACATCCATATACATGTGGGTTTCCTCAGCCCTTTTTCATGCTTGATGTATTCTAATATTGCATAAACTGTATGAATCAATGTGCCTTACAACACATTGAACTTTGTGTGGGATAATGGAGTTTTATTAAATGGCTCCTCCTCCTCGTTCTAACACAAGGATTTCTGCCGAGTCTGGCAGCGCTGCGTGAAGGCTTCTGGCATAGGCATTTACTTTTACAAGTGTCAACCTGCCTAAACTGCTCGTGTCACCTGAAGATAGATGCCTGCTTGGATGATCTTGTGAAGTTAGATGGAGATTAAATTTAAGCTTGTTTCTTACTAGATTGCACTCGTACAGCAGCATACACTGAAAGGGGCCAGTCAGGTGCCACTTGCATTCAGAGTGGCAATGCAAATCCTGGTGGAACTCTCCATTAAGTGATCACCAGTGCTGTTTAGGAAACTGGGTGACAGTGAAGCACTTGTCATAATCCAGAGGCAGTAAGTTTTCCTTGCAGTCCTGTCAAGCATGCTGGCTAGACCCTCTTTGGCAATAAACTTCCTTTATAGTTACTGTAGTTGTGGAGCAAACTACCAGGGAGTTTACAGGATTAAAGGGTATGTGGGACCAGATACATCTTGCATTCCCAAGAACTCAGGCTCAGCATCTGCTGCATGATGATGTAATTTCCTTTTAACTACTACACTGAATTGTGTATATAAATGCCTATTTTTTTTTCTATACAGGATACTATTTTTAATGAAAGTAGAAGCTGTGTATACTTGAATAGAGGGTGCAATTTCATGCAGTGCTTGCACAGATCTAATAGCTTCTGCTGCTACACAAGTACACATGTTCTGCACTGTCGCTATTCTGAGCTGTTAGAGGGAACTAGCTTGGCAGAAAGCTTATTAATGTGTTTTAATTTTTACAGAATTGGCCTTCTGTCAGCCTGACTCTCTGAATCGGTTTGTTACAGGGTGCTGAGTGACCAAGTATGTGGGTGGGAGTAGGATTGCCCTTTCAGCTCCTGGCTATCTGATAGTTGAGCTGTAATATGAAACCCTGAGATAGGCAAACCTAAAAGCAAGGTCAGCCTTCATCTAGTAAGAGCTCCATCAAAACACAATTCCTGTTAGATAGAAAGGTGCTGCTGGATTCTGCTTTTCTCAAAGTCCTGGTCCAAAATGCTCCTTGGGTGGACCCTGACAACAGGCTTCCCCTGCTGTTCCTGAGTGTTCTGAAACTGGAGAGGAGAATAATTTCAATTAAATCCAAGTCCCAAGTATGTTTCTCTCTAGATATTCATGACCTCAGAGTCTGCAGAGTGCACGGATCTGTTATGCCTTGAATATCACCTTGCCTGCCTTTTTTCCCTGCTAACTGTGCTGTCTGCCCCTACAGTTCCTGAGGGTGACGAAGCAGTACCTCCCGCACGTGGCCCGCCTGTGCCTCATCAGCACCTTCCTGGAGGATGGTATCCGCATGTGGTTCCAGTGGAGCGAACAGAGGGATTACATTGATGGCACGTGGAACTGTGGCTATTTCCTAGCCTCCATCTTTGTGTTCATAAATCTCTTCGGACAGCTGAGTAAGTGGCTCTAAGGCTGTTAAGGTGGATGCCAGAGCACTGCAGTGTGTCTGCCACCCTGGCTCGTGTAAGCACTGTGAATCATGTAAGCATGGGATGCCTCACTGATTTCTGAATAGCCATTGGCAGCTTAGAACTGATAATACTACATGAGCTGAATGAAAAGAGCTTTTAATTAACCTGCTTCAGCCTTTCCTGGAAGTAGCCTTGGAGAATTCTGTGTGACACTACATCTGAGTCAGATGTCAGTAGTCTGTTAGGGCAGTCTCTTTTCAGTTCTGTATATGCATCTCTGAACACATACCACACTCCCTGAGTTCTGTAAATGAAATACTCATATTTTCTTAAACAGAGCAGTGTTAAGACTTTCTGAGCCTGTTGGTATTATGGGTATTAATCTCAATGACAAAGTCTTACCCTGCAGTTGGTACACTTAAGCCTGAGAGAGGTGCTTGTATCAGTCTTTCAAAGGCCAGGAATCAAAATAATCCCAGGTACAGAGCTTCTCTGTGTGCTAGATGGACTTAGAGTATCAGAAATGGAGAGAAGTATGTTATGTATCTGATCTACTGTTCTTGATTGCTCTGCCAATTTCTTGTCTTGTGTCTGGGTTTCTTTTACTCACATATTTTTTGTGTAGAGAGTTAGCTTAATGTAGTTACCAGTCCTCAAAGTAGCAGAGACTGTCAGTGCTTTGTGACAGGAGGCTTGAGGAAGGATATAAAGCAAAAGCTTTGAAGGAAAAGGAGTGCAGCATGTTTGTCCTCACAGTTCTCCTAAAAAAAAAAATACACGATGAGTTTCTTTTTAACTCCTTTGAATGCTTTAACACTGATAGCAGCTGTACGCTGCTGTGTGTTGGGGACTGCATCCAGCATGTGCTTATTCTTTGTAAAATAAGATACTTCTGGAATTACAAAGTATTTTAAAATGCACTAAAGCTTGCTTCTCGAACTGATCTGTCCCAACTAAAATCTCTTACCTGATATTCTCCGTGGCACAGTTGAAAGAAATTGAAGTCTGCCTGTCTGCTGCATATTTTCCTGTGCAAGCCAGAAGTGTAACTGTGTTCAATTTCCCCAACTCAGGCGGCTGTATCCTGGTGCTGAGTAGGAACTTTGTGCAATATGCCTGCTTTGGACTGTTTGGAATTATAGCATTACAGGTAGGAGGCTTAAGTCTTCAGCCCTTCTAAACCATGTCTTTCAAATTTCTCTTAGCCCCACTACTGCCAACATATTTAAATACAACTCTCAACCCTGGAATTTTTCTGCACCCTGGCCTAGTGCCAGTCCTCAGTGGCATTGGACTATTTTGCTGCTTCTGTTCTTCTGATGTGCCCGATAGATCCTTGGCTGTAATTGCGATTAGTCAGCTGGAGATGTTGGTTCCAGACTTGACTTTGACCAATTTAGCAGAAGTAACTTGCAATTTACCTGCATGTCAGTAATGTGCCAAACGTGGAACTTGCAGTTGCTTTGGCCTTCAGCACACAGCTTTGATAAAGGACTGTCCCCATCACAAAAGATCCTAGCTAGTAGCATCCTTCCTGTTCAAAACCAATGTGCTTTAGCTCCCACAAAAATTCAAGTCAAATTCTGGCTTCTGTTCTGTTTTACACTGACTCATTGGACCACAATGATGTAACCTACCTGATGTCCTTTAGTATAACACACTTCTATCTGACTTCTGCTAGGGATAGTACAAGCTTGAGATTATAATGTAAATTCGGAACTTCAGTGTAATTTATATGGTGTTTTAACCTGTTTTCTTCTCTGCCTAGACTATTGCATATAGCATTCTATGGGACCTGAAGTTCTTGATGAGGTATGTCTGCTTACAGTTTTTATCGAAACAGAATGAAAACTGTTGTCTATCACTGCCACTTGCTGACAGAGGAGATGATTGATATACATTATATTTACTAGAAAGGCTCTACAAATGATGCATTTATATTGATAGCACTTAAAAAATCAGTACTGTGTTAAACCATGGACAGCAGGATCAGTGGTGCAGAAAGGGAAGACTAATCCTGACCCACTAGGATGTAAGTGCTTCTGCTACTGACCTCCTTGCTGAGAGCTCACAAACAACTGTCTAGACTGGGTCACTGAGCTGCTATTATTTCCTAAGTGGCTAAAATAGCAACTGTGCTTATGCATGACTGAAGCCATTTTTTGAGGAGACTAAAGCATGTAGATATCAGAGTGGTTTCTGGGATTTTAAATCTCAAACACCTTCTCTAAGTAGAAGGCAGGGCTCTTAAATATGAGCTTTCTTGTCAAATGCTTAGTGATGGCTGACTGTTACCTTTTCACCCCTCTAGTCTGAGGGGAGAGCAAGGGGCAGCACAGGAACTGTCCTCTGGGCTTACTACAACTCTGTAAATGTGTAACTTCTTTTAGCAGTACTGCTGTTCTGTTTTCTCAAAGCAACCTCTGAACTACTCTGGCATATGTGGCTAAACCTGAGGTACAGAGTAACTTCAGTCCAACTAAATTCATGCTGTAACAGATACTAAGTGACTGTGTCTGAGCTGTGGGTGCTGGACTTCTCTGATAATCTTTATGTCTACACATGCTCGTATAAATCCTTGTTGTGTCCAGTGCTGCTGTTCCAGCTCTGCAGTCTAATGCAGGCACACATCACAGGGTGCAGAGTAGGTCACTCCTCACTAGCATGGAGATTCTTACCAAGCTGACATTGTCAGATAAGACTTTGAATCCACTGTGCAAACTGTAATAAACTGCTTTTCTTCTCCCTCATTTCTGCCTTTCTGTAGGAACCTTGCCCTTGGGGGAGGCTTACTGCTGCTTTTGGCTGAGTCGCGCTCAGAGGGGAAGAGCATGTTTGCTGGTGTCCCTACCATGCGGGAAAGCTCTCCTAAGCAGTACATGCAGCTGGGAGGTCGTGTGCTGCTGGTCCTCATGTTCATGACACTGCTACATTTTGATATGAACTTCTTTTCTGTAAGTATCTGAGTCTAAAAGTATGAGTTAAGGAACTGGAATATAGTACCAGTTCCTGGATTGGCTCCAGGGCCTACTCAATGCTTATCATTTAAGTCTATTTTTTAGTAGAATTAATATTTAGAAAAGATATTAAACTAGGTGTGCCATGCCAGCTTGTTCTGCTGAGCCTATCCATGCTCTGTTCTGATGTTTGTGTATTTATTTTAGGAATTATATGTAAGCTTGTGGTTTATTTTCTTTACCTTGCAGATTCTGCAGAACATTGTGGGTACAGCCCTGATTATCTTGGTGGCAATTGGCTTCAAGACAAAGCTTGCTGCCTTGACTCTCGTCATCTGGCTCTTTGGCATCAACATCTACTTCAATGCCTTCTGGACCGTCCCAGCCTACAAGCCCATGCATGACTTCCTCAAATACGATTTCTTCCAGACCATGTCTGTAATCGGAGGGCTTCTCCTTGTCGTTGCACTGGGCCCCGGCGGAGTCTCCATGGATGAGAAGAAAAAAGAGTGGTAACAGGAATAGCAACACTTCTTGGGACATAACATATTAAGTCCAGAACTGATTCTCTATGGATTCAACAAAAACTGCCAGCATTTTACACGTACATGCCCCCTTCCTATTAAAGGCACAGATGTTTTGAATTTGATTTACAGTGGCACCAGTAATATAATAGATAAATTCCTATTTCTTCAAGGAATGTTGCCTAGGCTTATTCTAACTTCCTAGATTTGGAACTAACCCAAGGAACCTGCATTTTGCTGATGCTTCAGTGAGTTGCAGTAGAATGGTTGCTGTCTTTAATGTCAGCAATGTTTTAAAATTTGAAGTACTGTGAGCAGATACAGCTGTATCATTCAGTGTTGGGTTCTAGCTATAACTAATGAAGTGGATCCCCTTTCTCACGCTCATCAAAACTGTCTTGTGCATAAGGAGTTCCATTGCTGGTTATAGCATTGCTTATCAAGGTGGAAAGCAGCATCAAAGAAAAATCACTTGTAATTTTGCTGCTCAGAGGCCTGTAATTCCATTTTGTTTAACAGGAGGGGAGGTCTTTCCTGCCCCCAAATAAAAGGCAAAAAGAAAGCTCTGAAAGTAGTCTTGCCCCCCTCTAGGTAAGAAAAGGGAGAGGGGTTTCTATCATGTCCCAGTTCTGCTCTTGAGGGGAACAAGGGAGAATCCTGTACTGCTAATCAGGAATCCTGTATGACTAATCAGATTTCAAGAAGGAAGAGGAGGAGATACTCCTGGAGAAACAGAATGTTAGATTCTGTTAAAATTCTGTGCCAAAAGAACTCTATTCAGCATTCTTTCCCCAAAGTTGCCCCTCCCTGAATTCCAAAGAAGGGAGCCGAGTTGTGCTGCAGGTTCCATAATAAAAGCTCCTTTCTGTTACTAACCAGCTTCCATCCATGTATGCCCCAAATTCATATCTGAATTGCAGGTTATTGGTGAAAGTGTCTTCAGAAACCCCCATTTTCCCTGCACTCTTACATGATGAGAGCAGTAGATCTTCTGATCTGTAGTCTTTGCTTCTTAGATTCACTTCTGTCAGCCTCAGCTATAGAAGTCCCAGTTGACTGAACAGCAGAAGAGCTGGGGTGCTGAGCTCTCGAGTGCAGCCACTTCTCTGCCATCTCAGACCACTCCTAGATGTATAGGGAGGAAGTGTGGAAGTCAGCTGTGTGCTGCCATAGCCCCAGTTCTCAGCTCTGTATGCAAACGGTTATAGCTGAAGAATGCAAGTGCAAAGCCTGTGCAGTGAATAAGCAACCAGAGATGTCTTGCATGTTCAGGGAGGATCTCCTCAGCATAAGGATGAGGAGAGAGGAAGGCCCTGCTTCCACCTCTCAGTGCCACAGCCTCTGTGCCATGAACATGCTTAGTGCTGCTCGGAGGAGGTGTTTTGTCCTCTGCTAGTCAACTAGGTGATCCTGTTCACTAGATCATGAAAGAATTCTAGAAAGCATGAGCCCTATCAACTTGCTAACATTACATTGATTCCTTGCACTGTTGTCTCCCTTGAGAAAGCTGCTCAACTGTTTGTTCAAGGAGTAATTCAGCTGAACATATCCAGCAGGAGGGATTTACCAGGGACTCCCAGTAAGGACACTAACCTGGACAGTTCAGCTTAACAGTTGCTTAAGAGAAAAAAGTTGGCTGAAAGAACTGATGACAAATAGTAGAGCACTGTTGAATGTTAAATGATTGATTTCATCATCTTGAGAGGAAAACAGCCTATGTAACAGCAAGATGTGCTGCTGCTGAAGGAAGCAAATTGGTATGTGGAGGTAGATGGGAGGGGAAGCCAGCATTTAAGGCCAGGTCACATAGAAGGCTTTCTTTTTGTAAGAAGTTTTCACTTCAAGTGTTTGCTGTGCCCGTCTCTTCATAGCAAAACAAACTGGTCCTTTCTGTTTCAGATATGCAGCACAGGAAGCTTCTGCTCCATTTCCTGCAGGTCCTAGAATGGTTTTAGACTACATCAAGGTGGCCATTCTCAGACAACTTAACTGCTGTTGATGTTCATAGTATTTATAAATGAAACATAGAATCAAGTCCTGTAAGTAGCCCTTAAGTTGGCTTTCTCAACTTTTGTGTCCTGTCTAAGGAGCTGGATGATGGACTGGCCTGAAATATTGACCAGTTTCATTCCTCTGTGGAAACAAGTCCCTTTTCCCACAAAAGCCCCCAGAAAAAGGAACCGATACTGTCCCTTGCAGCAGAACTACTTTGGAACTGAAGGGGCAGTTAGGTGGAGGGCATTATAAGGTATTTCTAGGCAGCGCCGTATGCAAACTTACTAACTGTGGGTCCTGATGCAGAAGATTCTGGTTTCCTACATACACTGCTGTATTCATGCATCTCCCAAAACCAGTGACCTCCCCATGACCGAGAAGCTCTCACAAGCAGGATGTCAGCTATCAATTGGCTCTGCAGTGTTCTGGAATTCATTCTGAATATATTTTTGCTTTCTATGTGGAAAAAGAAATAAGTATAAATTCTCATTTTATGCTGTATTTTGTACCTTAGTTGTGTTTGAAAATGTTTTGATTTTTGGAAACAATCAAAATAAAACAATGGCATCTTTGTATCCACCTGGCGTGTGTGACTGGTGCCACTCCACAGCCAGGCTGCCTGGAAATGCCAATCAGGGGTCCCATCTCCTTCCTTTCCCACCATCTTTCCTGTACTTGGCTGCAGCCCTCTTTCCC